TTCTCTTTTCTTGATCTCTTTTCTTTCTTTCCTTTGTTCCATTATCAAATATTGACTCCTAATTGATGTTTGGGTCAATCAATTCCTTGATCATTTGCTCGGCTCATCTTTTGATTAATTACAATTTAGTCCTTCATCTTTCACTTTTCTTCAATTCAGTCCAAGGTTACTTCTTTCTTCCTCCGATCGTCTTGTATTGTCCTCAATCTCATACTTGGTATATTTTCATTCTAGTTCTGCACTTAGCTCAACTTTCCAATATTTGCACCTTTGGTCCCCGAACTATCACTTTGTTCCGTTTCGGTCCTTTTTTCGGCTCTTTTCTTCTGAATTCCGTCTTTTCCATAGAAACACATACATTGCATGAATTTAACGAGATTAAGTCACAATTCATCTACTTTGTCCATGTTTAAGTCATGTTTGTGAGCTAAATAAGTGTGTAAAAACACACTTATCAAATCCCCCAAACTTAAACTATTGTTTGTCCTCAAACAATGTAGTGACTTAATGCTAAACAAACAGGCTTAATAGTTTGCCGTGTCTCAAGATTGGACTTAGTAATAATAGAAACAATATCAAGAGTGCGAGATTTGAATCAACATTTACTCATCAAATGCAATACTTAACGTGTGTGTGTGAACTCATGCCAACATATCAAGCTTATGATTAGTTTATCCTGACCCATAGTGGTCAAATTTATCCTTATGTGACTCGAGAGATACACAATCCCCAAATGTATTCTTTTCACACAATTTCTCCGGGGTGTATTCTAAGATTAGGAGGTTAAACAATTCTAATCCTTACCCTCTCTTAGTTTGGATAGATTTTACCATTACAAATTCACATATCAACAAGTAGAGACTCTCCTTATTTTGATTGCTTCAACCTTTAGGATTAAACTAAGCTACTTGCCTCACATTGAGGTTATAGTTCTATCAACCAAATGTCCAACAAGGGCTTTTATTATTATTTTTTTTTTGTGTCATCTTCTCATTTGCTTTCTATATAACCCATGTAACGAGCTTTAGGCGATGACTCCCAAACCAGTTGGGTTTAGGGGACCAGGTTTTAAACCCTTGCAGTCTTATTCACTCGAGTTATAAAGGCTCGATAAGATATTTTTTATCAACTCTCCTTTTTTCTTGCTTTCTATATGACCCATGTAACGAGCTTTAGGCCGATGACTCCCAAACCAGTTGGTATTAGGGTATCAGGTTTTAAACCCTTACAGACTTATTTGCTCGAGTCATAAAGGCTTTTTGAGAGAAGTGATAATTTTTCACTTTTTACTTTATGCCCCTTCTTTGTTTTTCTAGACATTTGACTTCTAAAACCATCATCACTTAAAACTTTCACCTATTTCTTACCTTCTGGATTTAAACAATCCACACATTATAATTCCATGCACGGAGCCCCCACTTATCTCCATGTTTTCCTACAATGGCTCAATCATCTCCAAACTATCTTAAAGTGATATTACGGGTTAATGTTATAGAGGGTTATTCTAGGTTTCTCCTAATTTATTCTAAAATTCCAATCAATAACTTAACACGTGACATGAGTGGCGTGCAAAAGAGTGTCAAGCAATGCATCAACAAGTATTAGCAAATTAAATCCTGCACTAAATCCACAGTTTCTAGCTTATACATGTCCAATAATCACATCATAGCCGGCAAGGCTACCATATCCACACAAGCATACAAACGTTCATAAAGATTCACTCATCAAGCATGCATCATGCAAAAACTTGTCAAAATTAACGATGGATTGCGAATATGCAAAATAATTACATGCCGAATATTTGTTTGAAATTATGCTACCATCCCCTAAACTTATACAATACATTGTCCTCAATGCAAAATGTAAAGTTAAAATGGCAGAATTTAAAACATGGACACAACTTGGCAATAAGAGATTAACAAAACTCCCTTGATCAATTCAGTGGCTGTGGTGTGAAGCTGGGACCCGCAGCATCATCTTCATGAGGAGGTGGGAGGCGAGATAGGACTTGTCTCAGCAACTCAGACTGTTGTGCTTGCTCGGTCTGAATGGCTTGAAGACTACTTTCCATATTTCCCAAGTGATCCCAAGTTTTGTTCACACGCCACTGTATGCCATCCATTCTCCCAGCATACATGTTGAACCTACCATTCATAGTCTCTACTTCCCTTCTTGTAGATGTGGCTTCATTCAAAGCACCTTTTGTGTAGTCTCGGGAGGAGTAGAGGTCTCTCTACACTTTTTCAACAGTGGTGGTCATCGTCTTAAACCTTTGCTGGAGATTTTGTATATCCCTGCTAGTTCTAGTGGCTGTGGCAAATATCTGTCGAAGTAGCTGTGAATCCATCTCAACTGGTTGTGGCAGGGCTTGTGGTAAGTGTAAATCTTCAGCGGCTTGTCATTTTTCCTGCGCATTTTGTCTTTGCTGCTCAAGTCTGTCTTGTTTTCTCTTCCTTACCCTAGCTCGTTCCTGAGCTTCAAATGTGGTGAGCTTTATCAATGGGCTGGATTTCTCAGGCATCTCCCCTGCCTCAACTGTAACACCGGCGGCAAGACATATCCCGTAATCAGACTAGGGAAAATCATCGAAGACCGCCTATCTCCCCAGGTTCCCAATTTTTGTATCTGGTCAAAAATAAGAGTAGCCAAATCAACTTTGCATCCCCGGACTAAATGATATATGAACCCAGCAGTCTAATCCGTGAAAGTTGTCCGATGCGATGTGGGTTCGATATTATGGCACATGAAGACCCAAAGGATGGCTATGGAGGGAGTAAGCTCAATTTGATGCCACTCTGCAGTGGGTAGGGGCCAAGCATTCTCTCTTCCCAAGAAAACCTCCGCCACTTCATTCCAATTGAATTGAGTTGGAATCGGGACCACATTGTCCAAATTAAGATTGTAGAAGTCATCAATGACGGCTGGGGAGAACATTATCCACTTACCTCGCACCCACGTTTGGTATAAGTGTTTAGAACCCGGTGTCTCAATTTCACTATTGAAGTTTACATAAAATTCGCGGACTATACTTTAATAAACCGGGTGTGACTTTTCTACAATCTTCTTCCATCCACAAATTTATATCAGATTTGTCAACTCAAAACCACGAAAATCATCTAACCGGACCTATCTCTTTGGTATCATGCCCTAATGGCATATTATGTTCTCATATCGAGCTAACGTTTCTACATCACGAAATCTTCGCACGCCTCCTATTAGCTCTCTGGTGCGGGCTGTGCTGGAGGATGAACCAACTTTTTCTTTACCTTTTGATGTTCTCTTTGGTGGCATCCTACACAATTAAGGAACGAAGTGCATCAACTGATGTCCACTTACCTTTTTCTTCAAGTTCGTGTTCATTGCCTCCAAAAGTTGTATTCTTCTTCTCCCTGGACGTTTTGCCCTATTTCTGATGAATTTTGACTTTTATATCATGTCCTCACGGGGCCCCGAAAGAGTTTCAATTAAAAACGGAAGTTCAGATTTTTTTATCGAACTTAAAGCCATGCGACCGCATGAATTTTATAATCTAACCTTAACCGAATCTAATTGAGTGAAAATATGGTATAAATGCAAAAAACCCTAATTTCAATTAAGAAACCCTAATTTCAACTAAAAACCCTAATTTCTATTGAAAACCCTAATTTCTCAATTTCTCTAATTGAATGACTCAAACACTCAAGTAAATGAAATTATGCAAATTCAAAAGCTAATTTATGAAAATTAATCAAACTAAAGTCACTAGGATCACGAATCCCCAATTGAAGTTATAAAAACCCTAATTTCATAAAATTAATGATTCAATGAAAATTTGCCAATTCAATGTTTCGAATTCTATCCAATATACTCTCTCGATATATATTAGACCTATTCTTGCACACCACCAGCCTATATCTCTATGGATGATGCAAACATACAAGAATGCATGTAGTTTTGTGAACAATTTAAGAATTGCATAAAGCATAGGGGTATATCTCTATCCCCTGTCGGACCCTATGTTAATTTACACCTTATCGAACCTATTCCACTTCTCTCGAATGTAAGAAATAAGTCATCAACACTCACACAATCATTGGCCACTAATTGTGGAAGAAACTTAATGCATATACATCAATTAAATTATCCAAATGAGTCTTTATATTAAATTCATGAAATATGGAATTAAAATAACAAACAACGGTTCATCGATCACCTAGTAATT